TCAACATTTTTTCCCTTCAAATACTAGTCATGATATCAAGATTGACTGATTGCTTGTTAGCATTGACTTGATTTGTCATATGACATACACCCTTAACTCTCAAATAATAATCACCATCGTTTATTTACTTTGCCTTCAATCCTCTTGGGCTGTTCTATATCAATCCATTTTCCTTGTCTCTTTCGCTTTCAACAATTTTTTTTTCTAGATTTAATTTTCATAACACGCGAAGGGATAAACTTGTGATACACGTGTCGACGCCCGCGACGATGCGCTTATCGACACTAATACACACGCAATCCACCCTTTATAAAAGAAGTAGAGTACGATAAGCTTCCATTCGTCCTTTTATTTTAAACTTCAAGACTCTCACAAGACACGAATAAATGGCTAAAGAAGAAAGAGAAAGAAAATTTACAAAAAAAAAGTTTGTTTTTAAATTGAAACAGAATTTCTTTTTCCCAAAGGGATCATTTTTATCCTTTGTAAAGAAAAAGTTTTTTGTTTTTATATTTTGTTCCTCTTTTTTTTCTTGTCCTCCTCAATTCTCTACGTTCTATTCTTCTTAATCTTATTATTATTATGCCAATAGACGTAATTAATTCATTTTATTTCATGTATTATAATATTAGAGTAAAATAATGATCCAGTTAATATTTAGGTGTATCCAAACACGTACTTTTACAATTCCATATTTTCTTAGGACTAAGAAGGAAGGGGTGTAACCGGTCTTAAGAGGGTATTTCACAGTTAAACCCGCGTGTTTGCATACATTACGTAAGCTAGCGATAACCCTAACCCTTGTTGAGCCTTTCTTACTACGAAATAGAGTGCGCAATATCGAATCCTCCTCCTTTCTCACCCACACACTTTTAGCTCTTCGGCACACCCGCCGAATTACTGAGGGTAAAGCATGAGCCGTTACCTCAAAACTTTCTCAAAGCCATAATTCCTCACTACAATACTGAGCTGTAAATTAAATAACACACTTTTGCATAGCAACAATCGTAGATACGATGTAGGGAATAGTGCTAGTGGTTAAAAATACTTTTATTAATTTTTTCGTTTTTTTTTAAGGTCAACTTTAACGATTCTCCAAGTATTTACTTCCTTAAAGAATACAATTCCCTTCCTTTAATAAAAAAAAAAAAACTTTGTTTGTTCCAACCATTTTCTAATATCTATAAAAAAAATTTCGATCTATCTATGTTAAAATTGGGACAAGTTTCAGTTTTGGCCCATTTTAGGGGTGAAAAAATCAATTTTCTAAATGTTGGACCTGATACCACATTTGTTGGCATCAAGATGAAGAAAATGAGGGGTCGAACTTGAAAATCATGAGATATTTGCGAAAATCTACCATACATAATTAAAATTCAATTCCAACAATTATCTCAGCAAAGTGGCAATTAAAAAAAATTGCTAAAAATCCTTGAAGATTTTTTCTAATCTTCCTCCATTATATGACTGGTATATTTATAATATTGCTCAACATTTCCTTAGCCAGAGATAGTGCGATCAAGAAGTTGAGGTTGCTGATAAAAATCCTGTTGTTCTACTCGAAGTCAGTTCAATGTGCACGGATTGCTTCAATGTTGAATGTCAGTTGTGTAAACTTTGTTTTACTGATAAAATGAGATTAGTTCTTAGTCAAAGTTACACGAAAAGCATCGAAATAAAATGATTTATACGAAAAAATTTATCAAAAATTTGTCAAATTAAATTCATGTTTTTATATTTATTTATTATTTAAATTTAAATAATTTATTGATTATTTTATATTTCACAAATAGCATGGATAAATAATTGATTTGATAAACAATGTCGTGATAAATATTTAATTAATTCATTGTGGTATAATTCAATCATGTCAACAGTCATCCACAATAATGAAATATAATTATGCTGTCGCAGCAATAATTTCCATAGTCAAGCTAAAGAATCCTTGAAACTAAATTCGATACACACTTCATATAATAATTATTCAACCAATTTCTTCAATTCAACAGAGTTTTATTCTAAAACAGGCGACCAAAGATGAAAATTCTAGGATCAAAGTGATCAATAAATAAATAAATGATAAGTTTATAAAATAGTCTAGGACTTTTTGGTAGTGATAACTTTCTATATCTAGTTTTGAAACTTGATAAATGATAGGGAATAAAATAAATAAATAAATAAAACTTTGTAGTTTCTTTTCTAACAGAAGTTGTACAGTATGCCATGTTTTTTGTCCACACCTCTTACCTTTGAATCTTGATCTCCACCAGAATCTCTAGCCAGCATAGAAAAACTCCCTTGAAAAGCAATTTGTTTGACACAACCAGCTGACGACGTGGTTTTAACCAGTCCTCGAGATTTGCCCTCTCTTCTGTACTTGTTCTTCTTTTTCTTCACATTTTTTATCTTTCTCCCTTCTGTGTTACTCTATTCTCCAATAGAGTTTATTGACGCTATGCACTTTATATTTCTTCTCCTTCTGGAAGAAACACTCGACCTGGAGTGAAACGCAACAAGAAGCAACGAGCTCGAGCACACTAAGACCATGAGATTTCATTTGTTTTGTACTGCACGTTTCCTCAACGTCTTATTGTAAGTGAAGAACTTGAGGAAACTTTACGAATAGAAATTGAGAAGTAAGAATATATATATAACCGGTAAAAAGCAAACTAAAGTCATTTTCCAACTTATAAAAAATTAATTTCATTTCCGACAAAACTTGAATAAAAAATAACCACGCAACTCTAACTATTTGTTTCACATATATTCCATCACATAAATTAATGATTTAATTATTTATGAAGACATTTAAATAATCATTTTGAATAATACAGCAATAATTACCACTATTTTTGTGGACTTAAACAAATAAAAAATTATTAAATAAAATTACAATTATTTAAGAGGCATAAATAAGATGATACAAATAAAATAAATCCAAAATTTGTTGACTATCATTTTATAAATGAATTAATTAAAATAAGTTTTAATAAGATAAATCTTGCAAGGTAGATAAGCACCAGCTCAATGCTGCTAATTAAAGCAAACTCATAAGTTATTTGTAAAGTGAGTCGACCAATAGACAAAGCATTAACAAGCAGAAGGTAAACAATGAATTAATATCCAACTATAATTCACTCTGATTATAATTTTTTAAATTTCATTAGACTATCTAATAAATCACCCAGTTACATTATGTAGACTATTAAATTCAACAATTTTAAATATGACCAAACAATTCTGAATCATTCAACATCCCTAAATCAATCAAGCATTTATTTTTAAAAAATATTATCTACAAGTCATTTGTCAATATTGATATATGAGCAATCAAAAAGTTTGATTTTTCTATCTAGATAGATTCTAAATACTTCAATCCCTTGTCGAAAAGGAATTGAGACAGTGTCAGGTCACTGTCTTGTTTATTTGATTTAACCAAATCGATGTAAGGGTGTTGGAAAGGTCCCAGATGATTTCCAATAGGTTCATTCTAGTTGTATAAATCTTTCAAATTCACTAAAGTTAACATGAAGCCAGTTTTTTTTTCATGATCTCCCTTTTTTTTTTTCATTCAAATAGCAATCTAGGTAGAAACCTTGATCCATTTCTAAAGCTTATTCAAAATAGATTTATTTATAAACTTTATTTTAAGTATTTTGATAATTAATTCCATGTAAGAAGTTTTATATATAAATTTATATAGAATATATATTTACATGGAGTCTTTATCAATAATAAAATAGAGTAAATAAAAAACCTCAGCAAAAATAAATGTCTGTCTATCGATTAGTTTCATATTGAAAATTTTTTCTACCAATTCTTTTTTATTTTTCTTGAGAATGCTCGTTATGTTCCAAATGATAGCTTCATCTTATTTTCATGGTACACAGAAGATTGCAGTGACTATTAGAAAGGATGAAACCGAGGCCAAAGTCGAAATGAATGTTCAAGAAGCAGCAAGGATCAAGATTATCTCAACTTCGGATCAGAATGTTTTCCTCTCCAACTACTTATTTTTTTTTTTTCTTTAATAATAAGTATTTAAATCAAGTTTCAATATTGATTACTCATTAGCAGCTACTTCTATTCTTGCTTGTTCAGTAATAATCTATGGAGATTAGCTATACATGAGAATGAAAGAAATCAAAAAATCCATTTCACGTAGTTTATAAAATTTTCTCCAAGCTTCCTGTTATCAAAAAGATGATTCGAGGATATTCTTGTAGATTTTCTTTCTATACTAGCAAGTGTGTAATGTGCTTCAGAAAAATTTTCGTCACGTACAACCGACAGACGGTGGATTGGCCAAAAAGCACAGAGATAGGCAAGTTGTATTCTCTCTTGACTTGGAAAATCTCCTCAACATTAGAAACTATTCACTATACTCTATTTAGCAACATCTATCTCCTCCTCCTTGGTTGTTGAATGTTATCCATCAGATAAAAATGGAGGATAACATGGTAATTACTGATCCAGTACCAATGACTAATTTTTGATTTTCTAGTTTAAATTCAATCCTTCTGAATGGCTTCTTGAATTCATTTATGATTGTTACTGCAATATTATATTCAAATCCAATTAAGAAAACTGAACCTTGAATCTAACAACCTTTCTCGTTCATTAATTTTTAAGAAAATCACCCAATGCTATCAACCTTAAATACCTCTATTCTTTGAATTGATCTCACGTACGTAATGATAGCTTTACTATTCCTTATTACCCTTTAGTAACAGGAAAAGAATTTTGATTAGTTTTCAAATTACTTTGTAAGTATCAATATGGCCATTAATTAATGCAATTAATTAATGTAAAGTTGCAAAGGCATATTACTAATAGCCTCTTGATCAATACTCTTCATTAAACTCTGTCCTGATTAAATTTTGCTAAAATTCCATCATATCATTATGAATGTCTATGAGGATTTAATTTTAATTGAAACATTATTGAGTTATTTTTAAATTCTAAAATATTGAGTGGTTTTGAACCATTTTTTTGTATAAAAACTTACCAATTACAGCAATATTTTCTGGTTAGCATCTCTGATCGAACGTTAATTTCGATTCCCTCTAGGCTTTGCATACTAATATTTCGTTGTTTACGGTTACAGGACATTCTAAAGAGAATTTATTGGTATTTTAATTGCACTAATGGTATTTATAATGTCAACGCTAATGGTTGCATATATTCTACGTAAAAAATTGTGTTTTTGAATTCACTTCATTTTGTATCACTGAAAAAAAAATTAAAAAAAGATTAATAATTCAATAAAAAAACTAATGAACATCAAAGTTTGAGTAAATATATAAATATTGAACGAAAAATGAAAAAAAAACCTACCACAAGATACGTTTATAATTTCAATTTCGGAGTACAATAAACTGCGTATGTGCAAATATTTTTACTGAGCTTGCGAATAACCTCATCTCTGGTAGGTGGTGCTAGTAGTGAATTCCGCTCGGATGATAACTTTATTAATATAAATTATCGACAGAGTTATTACTCTTTTTGCGATGAAAAATTGGAAATTGTGTCCATCCATGCACTCAAGTTAAAAGTTTATTAATAAATATCTTTCCACTTAATTATTAGTGTAATTTAGACTATATATGAAGAATATTCTTGTAATGTTTTTATTAATCACTAATTTGTGAATTATTCTAATGTTAATATTTAATCAATTGTCCAGGCTGTGTCCATCGGTTTAGGTTAGCTTCAAAATCAGGAATATGGCTAAAATAGTTTTATTAAATATTTTCAAATATTAATGTTATAAATAATAAAATACAAATACGTAATTGATAAAAAAAATTTAATACATAATTTACAGAAATAGATTAAGCTTCCTACCTTCTAAAATGGATCAATTGACTAATCAGGATCTTCCAACTGAAGCACACCTTCCAATTAATGAACACGATAAAAAAATTTTAGATATACAATTTTACACTAACATTGATGAGGAAACAGAAAAATGGCTTAAACATCTTCATCTTTTGTGGGCTCATTGTAAGTTTGATTTTTCTATTGTTTCTGAAACAATTGAATTATTGTTAGTATACATTTTTGTATTGTCATTGTAGGGAAACAAAGTGCAACTGTAACAGAAAATCTTTATCAATATTTTGATACTGCACCAAATCCATACTTGAGTACTTTAAAAATTTTAGCTAATGCATCAGATTTTAACAATGTTAAACCTAAAAGTTCCATATCAATTACAAGTTTGTAAAAACATTTTAATAATTCCTTTTTTTATGGGCAAGATAAATATTTTTGTGTAATTGTTAATAAATAATAAATTCCAACAGTTATAGAAGAATTTCGAAAGTGGTTACAAATTCATAGAAATGAGAAGAAAAATTGTCTTGTCGCTGAAATTAAAATAGCAGCTTACAAAATAGTTAATAAACAACGAAATATCCATCTTGTCAAATACGTAGCAGAGGCATACGAGTTTAAAGAAGATAAAGAATTATTTATACCTTTTATACAGGTAAAACATCATTAATTCCAATTATTAGAAGTGCATTAATTAATTAATTAATACTCAATAAAATCAAAGCAGCTCCAATGTAAGCATACAGCTAATAGAATAATAAATTTTTTAGGCAATGCTAGTCGATAAAAAATTTAAAGATGCTGCTCAATACGTAACAACTATTCAACTTCAAGAATATTTTCGAGATCCAGAATCTATCTTATTACCACTAATTGTACAAAATAAGAATATTTTAGTAGATGAATTTCTAGCTAATCATCCACAAATTCAGAAGGATTTAGTTGTTTATCTGGATGATTTAATTGGAAAGAGGCATACGATAACAGATGAATTAGAAAATTTTGTTGATAAAAATCACATTCCTGATGTAAAATCAAGTGTTCTCCAACTTCGTGCCATAACAAAATTAGCCGCTCGATTAATCAAAGCATTCAACCTTCCACCAGATTTGTGTCCAAATTTAAATGAAAGACGTGAGAAAGGATCAATACAATTTTTCATTCGCAAAAGATTTGTTGAAGGAACTGTGAGCTCAGAATGTTGGAGAGAAATGATTCATGAGACAGCTAGTAATAATCCGAATTATCAAGTTGAATTAGTGACAACGATTGCAAATTATGATGCAGAAGAAGCTTTATATTGGGCTAGAGTTTTTAATGTGCCCAAAAATCAAAGGCCTTGGGTTGTACAAGACTTGGAAGAGTTATCCAAATCGCACAATACAAATGACAACGTTGACCAAAATCCTTCTTCACAGGAAGCTGATTCAATATATCATACTTTAAAGTTGCCAAGAGAATCAATAATATTAATTCAAAATCCAACAGCATTAGAAGAATTTATTCATTATCAATTGACCCAAATTACTTTAGTCGGCATAGATTCAGAATGGAAACCAAATTTTGGAGGATTTAAAGAAAATCAAATCTCATTAATTCAGATTGCCACAAAAAACAATGTCTATATTGTGGATGTAATCGAAATAGGATCAGAGAATACAGAACTGTGGAGAAAATTTGGTGCAGCTCTATTTGGAAACAAGCATATTACAAAAATAGGTTTTACTCTTAATCATGATTTTTCAATGTTTCGTGAATGTTTACCTGCTTTGTTAGAAACCAAAGAAAGCAATTCTGGTTATCTTGATTTACAAAGCCTCTGGCAAAGATTAATAAAGGAGTATAAATTTGAATTCCCACACCAGGAAGATGATAATTCTAACGGAGGAAGTCTCAGTAAGATGGTAGAAATTTGCTTGGGGAAAAAATTGAATAAATCCGACCAATTTTCTAATTGGGGAAGACGACCACTTCGTGAAGATCAAATCACTTATGCTGCTTTAGATGCTTATTGTTTGATAGATATTTATAATGTTCTTACTGAACTTTGCCACCAAAGGAATATACCTCTTTTAGAAATCTGTAATGAAATCCAATGTCAGAGTCATTCACCGAAAAAAGTTGTAAAAAAATCGAAGAAAAAAAATTCTGAATCTCCACTTGCTACAAAAAACTATACCCTTGAAAGTTATGAACCAGTAGTAAACTTAGCTAATGATAATGTTGAAAAATTTCCTATTCATCAATGGAAAGTGATTTGTGACGGTACCTTAAATAATTTAATAAGACCATTGAGAATGTGTGGCTGTGATTGTATTCTTCTTGATTTTGACCGTCACGCTTATAAATCTGTTCAATTGGCTAAGCAAGAAAACAGAGTATTTTTAACAAAAAATTATAATCATGAACAGGTAATTTTAATTGACTTAAACGTGTTTTCTAATTTAAAAAATATCTCAATATTTTTTTCCTTTTCATTACAGTTTGCTAAATCCCATTTAGCACCTGAAAAAATATATAGAGTACAAAGAGGAGCATCAATGCTGCAATTACAAGAAATTCTCAACCATTTCAATGTTCAAATTACAGAGTTCGATATTTTTAGTCGTTGTATATCATGCAACAATGATGAGTTTACTGAAATTTCAAATCATACGATGTGGCGTCTAAACGAAAGGTAAAATAAAATCAATCCATTCATCAATTAATTATTACTATCGGAATTTAAACTCAATAAAAAGATTAATCTTTAAACTATGCTTAACTATTTTAATCTTTTCCAGATTCTGGTCTCAAACTCAAGATCGTCCTCCTTTAACAGAATCTCCATGTCCTGTAGGAGAAGTTATCATCGGTGGACAGGGAAATAACCGCACATGGAAATTATCTACCGATACTTTAAACATTACCAACTGCACTACAAGATACGGTGCTCGAGTTAAAATCGAAAAAGTTCCAATACCTATTTGCAAATCGATGGCATTCTTTTACATTTGCGATAAATGTGGTAACGTTTACTGGTCCGGTTCACATTTGGATCGAACCCTAAATGGTATTCTCAAAGATTTAATTGTCCGTGCTTAAGCAGACAAATTTGTGTTCATTAATACGTTTAGTGGAGACGAAACCCTTCAATGAGTCTGGGTTATACCAGAAAATCCCAAATGTTCAAACAAATTAAACTAAAGTCTAAAGTGCAATGTCGTATAATAAAACTCAGTATTTAGCTACTAAGCTTCTACAAAAATAATAGCAGACCCGTGTAGCATCTCTCATTGATTCAAGAAGTTTCTTCAATTTACTCTAATGCTTTAATTGCAAATAAAATATTTCACCGTATCGTATAAAAGAGTGTTTAGAAAAGAACAGGGTTTCGATGGATCAATTGTACCTCGCTCTAGATGTCGTACGCTTAAGGACTGACTTTTCGGTCAGACCGCCCTTAACTATAGTACAAGATATTGTTATATTTCTTTCTTATTATAATATTAGTAGTTTTTGCCTAATAATTAAATTAGATAAACCATTGGTTGTAATATTTTTTTATATATAATACATAACTATCTTTAACTATCACCTTGTGATTTATCGAATAATTTGTTTCCTAGTATTGTAACGATTAATAACTCCATTCTTCATAACTTTGTTGGTGACGAAACAATGGGATGTTTATTTTGATGAATAAAACTTTCATTCTGTTATACATTGTTCAACTTAGTAATATTTTATTTATTACCTTATTTCTTAAAAAAAATTTTAATCCAAAAGTATTGATGATATTCACAAGCGGCTTACCAAAATTCAGGATCATGGTGATGCTGTTATTTCTGTTACATTGCCTATTTTTGCTGGACCATCAATTTCTAAAAATTCAACTTTAGCTTTGTTTCCAAAAGGTGGTGGGCCTATGAGACTTTCAACTTCTTCGTATGTGAGTGTTTCTTTTTTTAGAAGTGCTTGGGCAACCTGAAAATTTTTTTTTACATCATCGACTAATTCTTTATAATTTAAATATAAAATCTTTTACCTTCTCCAATTTGTCTCGATTTTCTTTCAATAATTTTTCTGTAGCTTTATAAGCATCAGCAACCATAAGTTTAGCCTCTGTATCCATAAGAGCTGCTAATTTTTTACTGTATGGTTTTTTAGTATCATGACCAGTTTCTTCTTCACTGAAAGATATCAATCCAACTTTGTCACTCATACCAAACTGCCTAACTTGTGAGTATGCTATTTTAGTGACTCTTTCTAGGTCATTCTGGGCACCAGTTGTCACTGTATTAAAAATGATACTTTCAGCAACACGCCCTCCTAACGCAACACACATCATTTCAAATAATTGCTCTTTGCTAAAATTCTTTCGCTCAATTGGATTATATTGTGCAAATCCAAGCATTCCTCTAGTTCTAGGTTTAATAGTCACTTTCAAGAGAGCATCAGTGTGCTCTAACATCCAAGCAACTAAAGCATGACCTGCTTCATGATAAGCAACAATTTTTTTTTCAGCTGGAGAAACACCATGTACCTTCTTTTCTGGACCACAAAGAACTCTATCAATGGCATATGATAAATCCGAAGCATCAACAAATTTTTTCTTATGTCTTGCTGCATGAAGTGCAGCTTCATTAACCACATTTGCTATGTCTGCACCACTAAACCCTGGTGTTAATTGAGCAAGTCTTGCTGAATAAACATTTGGTTTCTTCTCTAAAACAATAAACCGCAAATGGCTCTCGAAGATTTCTTTTCTTTCCTCTAGAGTTGGAAGATCAAGCAATATATGTCGATCAAATCGACCGGGTCGTAAAAGAGCTTTATCTAAAACTTCAGCTCGATTGGTTGATGCTAAAACAACTACTCCATCAAGATTTGCCATTCCATCCATTTCAACAAGTAACTGATTTAACGTTTGTTCAGATTCTCCTGTTGATCCAAATTCACCTGCTTCTGTTCCACTTCTTCTTTTACCAATAGCATCTATTTCATCTATGTACAAAATACTTGGTGCTCTCATTTTAGCTTGTTTAAAAAGATCTCTCACTCGTGTAGCTCCTACACCTCCAATTAGTTCAATAAATTCGGAACCATTCATTGATAAAAATGGTACATGAGCTTCAGTTGCTACTGCTTTTGCCAACATTGTTTTACCACAACCAGGTGGTCCAAGTAATAAAGCACCTTTGGGAATTTTAGCACCAAGTATCTTATAACGTGCTGGTTGCTTGAGATAGTCTACGAATTCCATTACTTCAACTTTTGCTTCTTTAAGACCAGCTACGTCCGAAAATTTAACTCCCTTTCCTTTTCCACCGGTTAAAGGGTCAATTAAAGTGAATTTAGCACGTTTAAATTCACTTCCAGGCATCATATCCATAAAAGACCCACCACTGGTTTTACTGTGACGTAGCAATAAAAAGAACCAAAGAAGAAATAGGACAGTGAATATAGAAGACCAGCCGCTACTTGGTCGTTCATAAGTTATCGAAACTCCATGTCCTGGCTTGATACCTAGAGCAGCTTCAGCTTCACGTAATTTTTCCTCCAACCGTGTTGCATCTGCTACTAACATCTGATAAGCACGAAAATCTGCCCTTTTTCTATTAATTATAGCTCCATCATGTAATATTATTGTCACCCAATTTGCTTCTGGTCTCACTATTAATTCTTTTACTTCTCCTTTAGCTAGCATTTGATGAACAAATTCATTCCAGGATATAAAATGAGATGAATCCTAAACAAATTTATCTTATTTATTGTAAAGGATTTAATTTAAATAAAAATATCTAAAAACAAAAAATTACCTCTAGTGAATGTTTTGAAGTTGCAATATAAGTCAATAAAATATTTAGTATTAAAACAGAAATAGCCAGCTTCATTGCAGCTGCTATCACGTCTTTGTTGTTTGGAGTTTTATCCGGACCCTTTCCAGAATCACCTGTTTCACCAGAATTAGATCTTCCATTTTTCGATGATGATGTACAAAATAGTTGATTAAGTATTTTATTCTGATTTTTTTTATCAGGAGCTCGTCTGCGTGTCAACAGACTGTGCAATATCGAATATCGTTTTAAAATTTTGTTAAAAGCCTAGAATGAAAATAGTTGATAAATTATTATAATTATTCATATCATACAATGAAAATTAATCATTTTTTTAATGTCTATAGAAATAAAAAACGAATATTTACCGCCTGAGAAAGAGGAAAAAGGTGGGCTGTTGGTGGTTGATTCAATAAATCCAAAAATTGATTATTTATAACCTTTTTTTGTTTAAATTCATTGTGAATTATCGAACTAACAAATCGTCTTGACAAAAATAAATAACGACAATAATATTTAGATAAATTTTGCATTTTAGTATTAGATATTTGTAAATAAATATATGAAATAAGGTTAGAAGCCGGTTGTGATAATAATTTCAGAGCATTTTCATTAAATGTTGCACTTAATTCTTTTTAAAATTCGTTCACTAATAATTTTTACATTATAATTATTGCAAAAACACTAATAAACATTACATATCATGATGAAATAAGTTGTTAAATAACATGAAAATCTCTTTTTCGAAAACTTCAGAGGTTCTCATTTGAGAAATGCGTCACATTGAAAGTTGACGAGTGTTGGTAAATGATGAAAACAGTTTGCAACAGTCGGTAACATATAACTTTCAAAACCTATTTTATCAGTCGCTAAAAAACCTACTTATCGACTGCTTTAATTCAATTGAAAAAAAAAATTTTTAATTGACCGAAATGATTTATAACTTTATTTAAATGTCATTCGGCAAAAAAAATTGATTTGTTGTAGTGAAATATGAGTGTAAAAAAAGACGAAAAAATATTTTTAAAAATCAACGATCGTTGAAAGTATTTTTAGCCTGTCTATTACCTATACACTTTGTTATTTTATCTCATGCATACAGCTTTTCTACTAACACTGATGAATATACTAGAATATAAGTTTGACGGCAGTGTTTTGATAACGTCGGGGTGTGTCAGACAAGGCTTCCTACCTAATGGATCGTCATTCACATTTGTTCCCTTCAGAATTGAAACGCCACTTATAAGTACAAACCTATATGGTATTCCAAATGATATTATCGTGTTACCGCAAATCCACAAATCAAATTTTTATTTCTAATCAATTACTTATATTTGTTTATACATAATTATTATTAAAAAAAAAAATTATTACAAAAAGATACATTCAATTTTGTCCTAATTTGATTACTCTTCTTACTTTTATTATATAAAAGAGTTGAGTAGACTTGAAGCAATAATATTTGTATTGGCTTCAAAAGCGAAAAGCTACTTATCGCTTTGCCATTGGCATTCTCAAATATATCTACAGTTAATTTATTCAATTATCATCATAACAAATTAATATCTTATAAAAAATATCTCAAATCTTTTTTTATTTATAATAATCCATCAAAATATTCTGCTATTTATAATCATACCTATCAATACCATACATCAGTCTATAATATTCAATTATTAAGGAAAAAATTTGTTTTCAAAACTTGATAATACATTTGAATGTATAAATAAAATAAAAAAAATAATTATGGCATGATTTACATAGTTAATTTATTTTTAATGTACTTATATCTATATTATGATTATCAATTAGATAGAAAAAAAAACTATCTAACTTTGCATACTCCTAAACAACTGATCAAATTTGTTTTCATACATACACGTTAAGTAATGGGATCACGATGAGGAGTAGAAAAAAAAGCGTAGCGACGACATCATTTATTTTGTTAAACAACAAGCAGTGTTGTGTTAGGTTTGCCAAAATAACCAAAACAATACTACTAAGCGCCTCGTACTATTCATTCAAACTTTACTACTCTACATATACCTGTCTCACTTTTTCTCTTTTACTTATATATTTTCTATTCTTTCTCCATTCATAAATTATCATCGCTATTTTAATGATACTCCAAGAACATTATCTTTTCCTTCAAGCTCATACGAAAGTTTTTGATACTTCATAAAAATTCTTGCTCAGCATAATTTACTTGAAATATGACTGTTATCTTTGTGCTAATTTTCTCTCATTTAAATGATCATTATTGTTAAAGTATGAAATTCATGTGGAATTTCCATAAATAAGGTAAACTCGTGCAAGGTACTTGTAAAGTACTCACCAAGGTTGTTCAGATGAATGCGTCAAGTTGACATCGACGAAGATGATGATGATGATGATGATGACGACGACGACGACGTTCACGAAGGGAAACGGTTGAAAGAACAAGACTTCATCGCTTGTTATTACAGATGCCACATCGTGCAGGATCCGAGACCGTATTTCAGGCACAAAGAAGTCTCACCATATTGCCAGTGTCTACACCCGGAAGATTAAGAAATGTACAGCTCTAAGTTTTCCAGTATGTCATCCATGACATTCTTCTTCCACTTCTTTAGTTGCATATTGTTTAAAAGGAAATTTTCAGAACTGTTTATACATCTTGACTAATTCTGAAAAAAAAAAAAAATATTACAAGTCTGTTTACTTGATGAATTAATTTAGGTATTGAATTTGGAAGTAGAAAATCAGGATCGCTGGTTGGAGAGTCGTCAGGTTTCAGTTAATTGATTGAAGAAAATTTATTTAGAAACTTTGGAAAGAATATTCGGGAAATATTTGATCTAAGAAAGAAAGGAATAAACATTTTTGTTTGAGTTATTAGAAACATTGAGAAAAAAATAGATTGTGAACCTTAACAGTGTTGTTTGAATTTATTTTTGATGTAATTAATCAAATATTATTTAAAAAAATTATTTTCAATTGTCGGTATTTATATTAGCACAGTTTTGTTGAATTGAAATGAAAGAAAAAGATATTTAAATTATTTTTTTAACGTAAATTATCGGAAATCATTGTAAATAGTAAATATTTATTATTTTGTATGGGTAATCACCGCAGTGATTGTTAGTTTATTTGTATTTAGAGAGTACTAATTGAATAAAATCATTAAATACACTGAAAAAAAATTTACTGCAGATAAGTAATATATTTTTTTTTAATAATAGAACCAAAATTTTGAATAGTAGCAATAAAATATTTTTTGGATAGATTTAGTTCTGATGTACAGAGAATATTTTATAGTAATTTTTATTCGTCAATTTACAGTAAAGGTTACTAGTAAAAAAGGTGAAAAAATTACTAGATTTTTTTAAGTAAAAATAACTGAAATACTTAGTAAAAATTACTGTTCTCGTTGGTAAGAATGACCAATAAAGTGGTAAAAATTCTTATTCTGGTCATTTTTACCAACGAGAACAGTACTTTTTACTAAGTTTTTCAGCTATTTTCACTTAAAAAAAACCTAGAAATTTTTTCATCTTTTTTACTAGTAACCTTTACTGTAAATCGATAAAACTTATTTCTAAAAAGACTAAAAAATTACTTCAAGTTTTGACGTAATATTTTTTTCACAGTATAAAGTTGAGAATAAATTCTGAGGAAAGCCTAAAACTGTATTATGAAGATAAAAGCAATGATGAGTCTTTGAAAAATATTTTTTCTATGAATTCCAATTTGGATGCAACAAATAAAAAGTTGATGAAAGGTTATTGTAGGAAGAATATGTGTTTTACTTAGTGGGTGTCAAAAACTCAAAGGTATTATTGAGTTGACAAGAGAGTAGTGCAGCCATCATAAGTGAGTTGAGAGAAACTTGCAACATAACAGACGAAAGATGGAGAGTAGAAATTCGTGCTGGAATAACAATTCAGTATTGTCAACCGTCTTCTGTGCACTAGTGTACTCTGTTTATAATACATATGAATATAATTCCTACTATTGGATACAGTGACAAGGACGTCCTCGGAATCTAGTCTCTTGAAACGTCTCTTCACTATATAGATGTGTATATCCTAGCTGACGACAGCAGAAAACGACAGGGGGATGAACGTGGGGGCAAAACAACAACCCATTCTCACTGCCTTGCACCCTAAACGCGGCCAATAAAAACAACGTTCCGGTCTCTACGCGCATGTCGAAACACACGAAGGGATGAAAGGGCGCGAATGGCGAGGGGATCCTCTACCACAAGAGAATGAGAGGGCGTTCGTTGAATTATAAAAATAACACGTTGCCTACCGATCGAACAATTGGCCGATTCAATTCGCTTGTCGTCAGTCTGTTTCGCAGAAAAGAGTTCTGTGAAAATGTCAATAAAAATAATATCGGCATCCATAGATACAAGAAACATTTTTACTTATACTTAAAAATGAAATTATTGTTATTAAGTAGTTAATAACAATAACTCTTTTAATCATTTAAAAGACACCTATTTTAGTTTGAACAATTTTGTAATATTTGTTGGTATGAAAATGGATTTTTCAAGAATTTTTTACATAATGGCAACAGAAGGAAAGACAACTGGAAGGTTAAATAAAAGAGAAAATATATTTAAAAAGATGATTCATTAGCTTCCAATAAATTTTGTTTCTCTTATTAAAATTGTTCGCGAAAAGAAGTTGAAAGAACGAGAGATGATGGGCTCAAACCAGGACGAAATGCGCCAACGAGAGCGTGGCAAGTCAAAGAGATAAAATCTATAAATATGTGCAGGAGGCACACGCGACCCATTCCAGTGTTTGTTCAACCAGGAATAACTTTAGTTTCTTCATCGGGACGCAAAAAGCCTCAAGAGGCTGGTTTTGTGGCATAACGCAATCGACAAAAAATATATATATATATTTATTCTAATCATTATACATTCAGAAAAAATCCAGATAGTCAAGACTAATTCGTGCTTATGAATTAATAAGAGAAAAATATATATCTGTAATTGGTCTGAATTATTACTAAATTCATGATGAATGTTATATAATAGTTATGATGTAGACAAATTGATATTTTAATATTCTGTTGGGCTTTAAAGAGATCAATGTTGTTAGACATGTTAGCTAATGCACCCTTTAGAAAGTCGTTTCTTGATAGTAAACAAGACTCATTAATCTTTGGGAACATAATCTGATGTTTGACGTTGACAAGTCTGACAAAAAGATTTTCTCTGATATTTAGGACTGTGACACCACTACCAGCTGACATTATATATTTAGTAATCGCTAAAAGAAATGTTAGGATCCACCACAATTATCTTTTTAACTCGCTGACACGTGTATCCATTCAATAAAGACAGTCACAAGTATATCTATCATCCAGATACCACTGCGCCAACCAATTTCACGATTCACTGAAGCCATTAAGTTTGAGATTACTGTCGTTAAGCATAAATACATTTTTCTCACTTTTAGAAACTTATGTAAACACCAGTAGCGAATGTTCGAAACCTACAATTTATTGAGGTTTTTGTTTTTTAAATTTATTGTGAGGTATAAGAGAATAATTTGTTGCTGAGCTTGAAGATGCTGGAGATCTAGGATTATCAAAATACTCTGGACTGAATAACTTTTTATTTATTCCAGAAATTTTATCAGGTGTTTAAAAAGATGTTTCTCTAGTAATTGGTCCAGTTATTCATCTATTTTATACTTATTATTAATTATTAATGACAAAAGCAGATATTTGAATAAAATTACTTGAATTAATTCATTGATGAAGTCTAGATTACTCCAAAATGTTTATTATAATAAATATTGTAACTATTATATTTATTATTATATTTTATTGTTTTTATTCCAGGACTAATAATTTCAACATTTTGTTCAATCATAAAGTAATTAAAAAATTATAAATCAATTTTATTGAAATGGAAATGAAAATAAAGAACTTGAAGGAATATTGGAATGGTCATTGCTCCAAAACCTTATAGAGTTGTAATGGATATGTTAATAGATAATTTCTAATAATTATCCATGACTAATATACCTAAGTTAAGCTGTGAAAAATAAACAGAGTCTTGAAGCATGAAATTAGCAGGGGATATGGAAACAAATATTTAAGAGTACAATATGACATTTACACTGAAGACTTCATTTGGGATGCTGTGTGGTCGATTGAGATTAAAAGTAGACAGTCTAGTCAAGAGGATACCGCCATACTCTACTGCCTGGGGGACCAATAGAAGGTACAGATGAAAGCAGAGTAAGGTTTTTGGTCCTTGAATGCCACACCCTCCATTGTGTCCGTGTATCGACCGAATCACGCTGGCTCTTTCTCTCTGTGAACTCACTTTCTATACTTCTCTCACCAGCATCTCTTACTTTTCAGTCGACGTTTTGCTAAATAAACATTCCATTTTCACACTGACATTAAATTTTCATTTTATTTTTATAATCTTGGAAATGACTTCATTTTTTTTTGTGTATTTTCTATGTAGCATAGACATTTTGATAGGTTGATCAAGTGATGACATCAGGGCTGTAAGCTACATATGGTATATAAATGCGCAACTACCCCAGTAAAGTGCACTCTTTCTTACCCTCCATACCCTCAAATAATATTTTGATAGCCTCAAGCTTGTCCCTCCCCTTTCGACCCACATATCGCTAGCAGGAAATTATTTTTCACGCTCTATCATCCTTTTACCTATTATCATCTTTCCTCACTCACGCATGATAGCTCTTTCTCTCTATCTAGACTTTCTTTCATTTATTTTATTGAAAATGAACTCGTTAACACAATACATGTCTACGAGGTATTTTTTTAACGCAATTGTCAATATTTTTACCTTGTGGTATTTTCATAATAATATTTGATCTAATTTGATTTAACATCAACATTCTATATATTTATTATTAATAATATAAATTAATTAATTTTTTCAAGTCATAACACTTAATTGTATTTTAATTAAAATTAATTTATATGCTTTATAATAAATGAAAGAAAAAAATTATTTTTAAATAAAGATAAGATAAATAGCAAAGATTTATGTTAAATTTTTAAAAAATTACTTGAAAAATATATTTATTTGACAAATTATTGTGTCCAGCTGCTATAAATGGTGTTAAAATTCAAAGAAGAATTAAATAAATTGCAGTTAAAGTTGAAAAACAATTTTATAAATCATAAATGTGATGTGACGAAATAGTAATGCTGATGATACATCTGTTAGGAATAGTGATGTTGAGTAATAATTTCTACATATACCATATCTGTCCTATTCGATTATATATAATATGATTACGAGATGATCCAATAATGTATAACGGTAGAAGAACTTTTTTTTTAAACGATATTTCTAAAGAATAAAATAGATGGTTGGAAATTTAATGGATCTTGCAGTTGAGTGAATATATATATAACGCTAAAATACATATTAAACGACACAGGTAGAGGAGGGATTTTACCAATCCGACAAATCTTTTCTCTGCCTCTTTTACGTTTATACTTTTTTTTCTTTTGTTACTTTTTCAACTGCTCTTTCTTGTTTCTTTGATCCTATCTAGATGCTGACAAGTGCACCACATTAGCCTTCTTTTACATCATCACTAAACTATAAGTGATATATACACTGAGAAAAAAAATTTTCTATACAAAAAAATGTTTATTTTATTAATAA